TTTTTTTAAAAAAAGCTTCCTAGCTTCAGCATTTACATATTTGAAAAATTATATATATGGTTATAGGGAGGAATTATATAATTTATAGCAATGCCATTGAACAAATTCTTCATGTTTAAGCTACACTTATGCTGTTTTCAATGAAAGATAAGTTTAAAAAGTAAAATTTACTTTGTACAACAAAAATAAGGAAAGTTCCTATGCTTAACAAGAGAGTCTTCGTGAGATATGTCTTTGACATGGGTGTTTTTCCTCACCTAGACTAAGCCACAAAATGGCAAGTAGCTCTGAATATTGTCCAGGAAGAAGAACCCTACTTGAATATTTTGATTATTTTGCAATAAAAGTACTTTAAAATCAGCAATGTAAAGTTTAAGAAGAATATAACTTTAAGAAAAAATGTCTGCTAGTGGCATTTGAATCTGCTTAGCCAGAAAATCTGTACAGAGTTGTACAGAAAACTTGTATCTACATGTTTACTTATGATCAAAATGAAAACCCCGTCTACAGAAATTATGATGGTCTTGCTACACCATTAGCATGTTCTGAAACTAAGATCGGGCCCATAAATGAAATTCATCCAGAGCCAGGCCTGGCACAAAAACCTCACCAATTGAGCCAGTATGTGTTCAAGCTCCCTCAGTCAAATCAACGTAGGAGATATAAAAAAAATATCTCTTTCAAGGATTAATATAAAATGCCTGGATATTTCCTTCTATATGATTTAGGCTTCATAATTTCAAGGTATGCAAAACTCTTTTGTGTATTTTGCTGTTAGACTTTTGCTTAGGAAACGTGAAACCTTCACCCAACCACAAACCATATACACTGCTCCATTGTCTCTTTTACACTGAGTCTCCTACTGAATCCAAATCATCCGAAGAGAGGGGGCGATACAGGTCCTGTAAGATGAAGGGCAGTATAGATTTGTTTACTTGGCTTTCTTAGGTGCCCTGTGGCTCTCTTAGGAGTGGAACAACACTGAATGGGCATCCTTGGTTTCTGATGTCATTGAACCCTTTAGAGTCGTCAAATTTGGGTAAGAGGAAAGATCATGAAACCATCTAAATAGATGAAAAGGGTGCTTATTCTGCCTTATTGGCTTGATCTGCTCATGAGCTTTTGCTTTCCTTTGTGTCCAGTTGGGTTCTACGGCCCTTGAGGTCTGTCAACACCAACTCTGCCACTATGTATCTAGGCAATTCTTCCTTGAACGTTTCCTTCCCATTCTGGGTAGAAGAGGAACGCGCTTACTACCTCAGGCAATAATTTATTAGGAGCCCCAGCTGGCATTCAGGAAATTCTGGCCCCAGAGCAGCAACTCAAGGGCTGCATTTGCACCCCGCATACACCCAATAAACATTGCCTTTTCAAAATGGTATGTTTGGAAGACAGAAAGAATGCGAACTTGACCTCCCTGCTCCCTTCCCTGTGTTTATCCCGGTTCCCCAACCACTCAACCATCACCTTCCCTCTCCTTCCCTCCGCCCTTTTCTGCTATGAGATCCCTCTGCTGGTCACCAGGCAACGAGCTCAGATCTGCAGAGAGTGTCTAGAATCCTGGCTTCTTTTCTATTTTGAACCACCCACTCTTCACTTCATCTGACTGATCAGATAATCTACAAAAGTCAGCCATGTGGGAGTATCATGGGGAGCTTCATTCGACCTACACAATACAACACTTTTCTTCCTAATGTATTAAGAAATGGGACCCCAGAAAGTTCATGGATGGAAAAGATCCTCCCGGATCTGCATCTGTGACCAAACGCTTCTAGACAGCAATTTAAATAACAGCGTTTTGCAAAAATAGGGCAGTTGCTTGGTACACTGCCATCAGCGCTTTCAAGAAGAAAAATATCTGGCATGCAGACTCCTATTGTATAGGACTATTCTAAAATACCAAAAGAGGTAACAAAAATATTAAGGGAAGGAAAAAAGCTGATTAAACCATCATAATTAACATAAATAAAAATACAGATTTTCTTGTTTGTGAAGAAGTGGTCAAATGTCTCAATATTCCGTAAAAAAAAAAGCAGCTTATATTCCTGTGTTTCAAAATGAGGTAGCAAGTGTGAGTGTGTGTTGCAGGGAGAGGCCGCCCACTCATTTTCCTGGCCATGTTGCTAGGCAACACAGAAAGAAAAAGAGAAGTACCTACTGTTTTCCAATTTGCAATAAAAAGAGTTAATTTATTCTTTGACGTGTCTTCTTTTAGCACTTGCCATCTTTCACTTATTTCAGTATTTCCTGCATAGGAGTATAGCCATTTGAGAAGAATATTAACCAAATTTGAAACAGGATCCGTTTTTAGGGATATCCTAGGCTCATTTTAACTGGGAGGGATTATTTGATGCAGTTGCCTCCACACCAAGATGAAAGCTCCTCTCACTAAAGCAGCTGGGAATGTTTCTACTCATTGACATGGTACATGGATGGAGGATGTTCATTTACGGCCTCAATTCAAAAGCCTGGAAACTGAACCATCTCTAAACTATCCGGTGCTCTGCTCACAACATGTGTTTAATAAATGTTTTCAGATGATGATAAACCTTTTGTCTCCTTAAAACAAACGAGATTGTTTTTCCCTGTCAAGTACGGAGCTTGCACTGGTAGTTTAAATGACAAAATGAAGAATCTACAAGAGAACCAGCCCTTATAATCATTTCCCAAGCGCTGGCCGTGTTAATTACGTAAGCCATTGGCCACACAGCTGCTAGGAGCTGGATGGAAATTTTCTGCCTCAGTTGGACAAAATCATAGTGAAGCAGGAAACACAGAGGGCAGAAGAAGCAAATTCTAGCCTCATTCTGCCAACAAAGGGACAGTTGAGCCAAGCGCTTTACATCCCCAAGGTGGAAGTCTCCACCATAAGCCAGCAGGAGGGAAGCTCAGATCTGTAGCAGGGAGTCTCACTCATTCTAATCTAATCTCAACAAGAAGCGTGAGCTAAATCCTGAATCTAATTTAATTAGCCCAAAGGATGAATAGGGATTTCTACGCCAGGCGTAGTCTCCAAAGTATACACCTCAAAAGAGAGACTATTCTATGTAAGAGGGCCCTATCTGTCCTATTTCTTTTTCTTTTTAAGTCTTTATTGAATTTGTTACAATATTGCCTCTTTCATGTTTTGGTTTTTTGGCCACACGGCATGTGGGACCTTAATTCCCCAACTAGGGATCGAACCCATACCCCCTGCATTGGAAAGCAAAGAAAGTCTTAACCACTGGACCACCAGGGAACTTCCCAATCTGCCCTATTTCTAATGGCTACCTCTATAGATGGGGGCCTCACTGGGTAACATTTATAAGAAAAGCATCACTCACTCCACTAGCCCTTCCTCCACTCAACCACAGACATTTAGGAGATTAAATGAACTTGGCCCATTCTTCTGGTAGTTCACTAATGATTCCTGTACTTTAAAATGCCAGATTAGACTGTGGCCATGAAGAAACCATAGTGAAAACACTCAGCTGGAAATGGAGTCTCATTATTGGGTTTTCTATCTGGAAAGAGCCTTTTATTTTGTTTTGTTTTGACTAAAGCCGGGAAAGGATAACAGACTTATCAAAGATAACACAGCCATTTAATGGAGGAGCTGGTGCCCAGCTCCAGGCCTCATGCAATAATCAAAACCAGCTGGACCTGATGCCAGGCGGTTCAGTGGAGCGAGCAGGACAGTACTACCTGCTAAGTGGTGGGCCAGGCTGCAAAGGGGACTGGGGGCTGACTCATTCACCCCCCACCCCCCAGAGGGTGTGTGGACACAACCTCGGCAGGAGGCTTGCAAAGAGAAGCTTCCCTCTTGGAGGCAGTTTAAATGTACGGAACATAAAGTCTCTTTTTCTTTTTTTTTTTTTTGCGGTACGCAGGCCTCTCACTGTTGTGGCCTCTCCCGTTGCGGAGCACAGGCTCCGGACGCGCAGGCTTAGCGGCCGTGGCTCACGGGCCCAAACGCTCCGCGGCATGTGGGATCTTCCCGGACCGGGGCACGAACCCGTGTCCCCTGCATCGGCAGGCGGACTCTCAACCACTGCGTCACCAGGGAAGCCCTAAAGTCTCATTTTAAAGCATACAGTACAAGAAATGAAATTCATGAACCCAATCTTTGAGTTCTAAAGCTGCCAAAGAGCCCTAGCTTCTTAAAATGTCCTGAAACCTCCCTCCGCACCTTGCCTTTGAAATCAGGCCAATGAAAGGCCTCCTGTTGCCTCCACTGAGCCATGCCCCTCCTCCCCATCCCACTCCTTTGATTCTTGCCTTGGTCTTACTGGGAAAGACAAACCGCAGAGGTTGTGAGGCGTTCTGAACACATCCTGAAAGAAAAGCTAATCCCACCCCCTTCCTTAGCGTAGAGAAACGAACACTGTTTCCGGTAACTTTTTTGACTTTGGTCTCCAAGCTCAATCAACTTCTCCATTATTACACAAGAAGCTCAATGATAAATGCAGGTCATGATGAAAGAGAAGGTGCTCGGTGTGGGTTTCATTCACAAAAACACAGGTCACATGCAACCATCTCTGCAGCACAACCCCTCAGGGGCTCTGGACCACCATCCTTTGCCCTAAAGCAACTCCCACCAGGGCCTGCCCACCTCCAATCCAGGCATTTTTCCTTTTCTTTCTTAAGGAAGGCTGGTGACCAGTGATGATGTCTCTAATGAAACTCATTTCAGCTAAGGAAGCTTACAATCCCATGCCATTAACATCTTTGTGCACTCGAGACAAAAAGAGTGAGGTATTTCAAAGTGAAGCAGCAACTGTCTATTTATTCTTCCTGGAATTAAGATCAGGACAAGTTTACAGGGAAATTTAAAGCCCCGAGTCCTAGCTAAGAGAAACCGCAGCCATAATAAGCGACCCAAGGTCGGTCACCTCCTGCCCTTGCCTGGTTCTTTCTTAGAGACAAGCAGCGCTATCATGAGAGGGCTATTTGCTGACACCTGTGCCATCTGCACCGAGACATGGACAGGTCTTAAACAAGGAGCTTGCTCATTTCCTTACCCTCTGCTTCCGCAGGCTTCCAGGGCTGGTGGGTGATGGGCTTGGAGACTTGCCCGAGCGCGGAGTAGAGAGCTGACTCCCAGGGGTTCCATTAACTAGAAACACAGAGAACCACAGAGTGAAAAAGTGGCTTATTAAAGAATTCTCATGACAAATCATCTTCTCAGAGCAACAAACAATTAAATAGGGACATTTGCTAAAATTCCAGATACCTTTTTATCTATAGTGCTGAGAAATAGCTTCTGGGAGAAACCTTCAGAAACTCACTGCATTGTTAATCCAGTGTTGAATATAGCAGCAGGTTACATTAAAAAGAATAATAATGTACTCTGCACAACTTTCCTGATGAATTTATGAATGATGCTCTTAGCTGTGCCCACGGAGATTTGAGGCATGCAGTTCTGAGACATTTTCAATGGACTTCATGCTTCCTTCTTTAGTTTAGCTTCCCAGTAAAACCCAGTGAGAGTCAATATTAGCACAGCTCACAAGTGATAGTCCCAGTGTCTTGTGAAAACAGATCACTGTCTTTTTAGAGTTAAGAACTCACTTCTAGAAGTTCCCACATCCACTTGCACCCTATGCATCCCCCAGCCTAACTCAGAAGAACCTGCCTCCAGCAAGACAAAGTAACTGGCACAGACACTCAGGAACTCCTCACTGTTAGTCTGTACTGCTGTCGAAAACAAAAGCTGCTTTTTAATAGGTTTACATCACGAGAATCAACCTGACTCTCAAGACTTTTAAATATTATCCCTAAAAGGAATCAAAGCCATAGAACTCACGTAAGCCATTCTTTTCTCTGAGTAACAACACCTCTAAGAACTGATAAAACACTTAAAGACATGACTTTGTAAAGATGTATCAGATCGCCACTATTTTGCCTGTAAAAATGTCAACATTTTTACATGTTTTACATCCACAGCAACCAAGCAGGATTAGCAATGAGACACAAATGTCCTCCAGGGCGCAAAATAAACATCTTTCCGTGAGGGAGAGGGGTCATGCATTTAACTTACCTTCTATGAGTTCTAACATGGACACAGTCTCAGTGCCTAACCTGACAAGAGCAAGAGGCGAAATCCCTTCTTAGCACTAAGCCCAGCACCGCAGGGGAGGAGGGAAGCAGTTGGATTAGTTAACGATAGCTAAGGCTGCTCCCAGAGCAGGCTGAATGAGAAGCAGGATTCCTTAGCAGATGCCTTTTCTGCGTAAGGCTGACGTCTTCCGAGCAGCAGTGGGAGGTGCGGGTTCTGTCTTAGGCTACATCAAAGGTGTCAATTCAGCCTCATGCCAACGCGGAACCACTGCAGCCCTCAGCCCACCCCTAACTCCCGGAAGCCGAGTCCTTTCAGGGCTTTACACTGAATCATAACGAAGTGCCTCTGGGGGCAACAAACCCAGTGACTGTCTAAAAAATCAAAATGACAAGGACTCTTCTAAAGCCTGGAGACTACCAGGTAACAGGGGTAATAAGTCGACCCTCATAAAATTCAGTGGAGGTACATGTTTGGTGATTTTTCACACACAGTGTTTGCACCAAACCTTAGGGGCCATGGAACTGGGAAGCTCCTTGTTTTGTCATCTTCTCCAAAGACCTTTACCAAATGTCACAGAACTCATGCTGCACTAATTTGTGTGTTGCCTTTGACATGTATTTGGTGACTCCATCTAAAACACACGCATGCACACACACGCACACACCTATGTTTTGTTTTTTGGTTTTTTGGGGGCAGATTGAAGGAGGAAGCACTGAGAATGCTTTAATTTGCTTGCATTCTATGGTCCTGTCTTTGCTGAATGAGCCCGATGCCTGGGCCTCCTGGCACTGCACTGCCCCGCCAGTGCCTCTAATAGGAAGGGCTCTGAAACAGGCAAGGGCTAAAGAACTGTGGGCAGAGGCAGAATCCACAACGAATAAGGCATGGGATCCCCTAGGAGTTGACTGGAAAACAGGCTTTGTGAACATAATGTTTTCTTTGCCCACTTTCTACATCACTTTACGTCTTTACGTCACTCCTGAAGGCTATGCAGGTTGGGAAGAAATGAGCCAATGGGAAAGCAAACACAGTACTCACAGTTTTACTTCGGGGACTCTAATCTTACCAAGCCAATGGAACATAAAGAAAAAGAGAAAGTGCACTCCCAGGAAAACAGCCATAGCGATACTCAGCTTAAAAAAAAACAAAACAAAAAGCAACAACAAAAAGCCTGCGTTTACTAAGTATTCATCAGGCGTGCATCTCAGTTTATTGAAGACTTATTTTCTATGGACTAGTTAACGCACTTAAACCTTTTATACTGATATACTGGGTTGGCCAAAAAGTCCATTTGAGTTTTCCGTAACATCTTACAGGGAAACCCGAATGAACTTTTTGGCCAACCCAATATATACACATATATGCATAGATACACACACACACACACACACACACACACACACACACACACATATTATCTCATTTAACTCTCAGGATAACTCTGTGAGGCAAGCAGTATTATTTTATAGATGAGGAGACATAAAGATGATAAGCAACTTGACCAGCGCATACAGGGTGGAGGCCGAAATCTCTGCACTCCTTACCACCACTTTC